CAATACGATGTTCAGTAGAAATGGGAATTTGAATAGGCACTTGCGCACCCACACTGGTGAAAAACCTTTCCAGTGTTCCATGTGTGAGAAAACATTCTCTGAAAAAGAAACCTTGAGTAGGCGCGTGCGCACCCACACTGGTGAGGAACCTTTCCAGTGTTCCATGTGTGAGAAGACATTCTCTGAAAAAGAAACCTTGAGTAGGCGCGTGCGCATCCACACTGGTGAGAAACCTTTCCAGTGTTACATCTGTGAGAAGACCTTGTCTGAAAAAGGACACTTGGCTCGTCACATGTGCATCCACACTGGTGAGAAACCTTTCCAGTTATCCATGTGTGAGAAGACCTTTTCTCAAAAAGAAAGCTTGAGTAGGCACATGCGCACCCACACTGGTGAGAAACCTTTCCAGTGTTCAATCTGCGAGATGACCTTCACTCAGAAACGAATCTTGAAAAAGCTTTTGCGCACCCACACTGGTGAGAAACCAGTTCAGTTTTCCATCTAAGAAGACCCATTAAAAAGGCTAAATTAGGTATTATACTCCATTACATGTATATAAGATGATGGAACATAAAATCATTTTAATATTGGTTATTTTAATGTAGGTAATTTGAGGAATAATTATCCTTTTTGGTTGTTATAGTACCAATTTACACGAATATGATTATATTTCGCATATTAAAATACCGCAAAGAGTATGTGGGGACATAGGTTCTTGTACTGATATTTTCGGCAAGGTATAGATAATTTTTACATCTATTATTACTAAGTTGTTCTTGATTTGCCCTTTTGTCACGTTTGTGTTTTAGATAGTACTTTAAGAAATCCCAATAGCATAATAGAAAATCATATAATAAGAAAAAAATAAGTAAACCCCTGAAAACATTAATATTTTTGATGGAAACTGAAGAGTTCGTTTAATGAAGGAGGTACATCAACCAACAAACTTTCATCATTCCACATGACGTTTACATTCAGATAGTTTCGGAGTCAGTGTCCCTCACCATAGAGATTACTGCACGCACCGCGGCCCCCAGGGTATGAGGGCGAGGCTTTCTAGGGCTCTATATCTCCCATATAATGTGGTGGGGACCTTTACAGTAGCGCGCTCAGAGCATCACCTTGCAAAACTCAAATATGAATTGCTACCAACGTTATTAAAAACGTGCGTGGGTTCTGAGGACGCATACACACGCGCTTGATACAAAAGATCCCCGCCGTTCGCGCTACCTTTTCTTTCATGCGTGTAATGTTATGAATAAATGAATTTTAGAAGGTAAACACATAGTATTTAACTTATTTTGTAATTTATCTCAGAAATCGCTCATAATCAAAGTGTATTCGTATTTCTTGACCAATTTTTATGAACAGTGTTAGCGAGTCTTGCCAGCAGCTGTATCCGGCGAAACTAGCGCATCCTATAGTAGCAACCTCTAGCTTTGACTTCAATTTGGATGGAGAGTTGCCGGGCCTTAGGCTCGCTGTGTCGCAGGCGGCGCTCCGCACAAGCGAACTCGTCGACGCGCGGCGTCTACTTGCGTTCGCACCAGGTACAAACGGCTGACCGCATTAGGGACGATTTTTTTCCCGAAGATAAAATGGATGCTGCTTTATGTCGTTAAATAAGAATGATACGGAATTCATAAGCATTGTAAAAACTGGATAACGAGGGAACTGATAAATCAATGCAAAATTCAAAATCTATGTTCTTGTGACATGACAATATGTTTTGAAATGGAATCTTACAGATAGCTAGTATTGAAAACGTTGTCTATGTCATTAATAAAGAAGACTAAGGATTCTTACTCATAAAATATTCTCAGTCCAGGTACATCCTGGTAATGTTAAAAACCTTTGGGTTTAGGATAACTTACTGCATCGTGAGACAATGATAAGAAATAGCACCAGTAAAACAAATATGAATGAACAAGTAAACTTGTAAGGTTCCGACCTTGGGATATAAGCAAATGTCTTGGTTTAGATCAAGCCATTGACAGGTTG